CTGGCATGCTTCAGGCCCTTATAGAATCTTTTGTTTTCCTGCAGGTTCGCTCATCTTTATTTGAACTGGCTAAAAAAACAAAGTTTAATTTATGTCGTCATATCTTTGTTACCGTCATACTCTTGGTTATTATCAACTTGTTGGTGATCTTCATACCCTCCATGAAGGATATTTTTGGAGTCGTGGGTATGGCTTTATGACTTGACACTTATTCTGCAACAGCTCTTTAAGAAGCTAAAATTTTACAATGACAACTTCAAACTTTTTTTCTTATTTTACAGGAGTTACATCTGCTAATATGCTTATTTTCCTTCTTCCTTCATCTCTTTATTTAAAAATCACAAACCAGGATGGAGATAAAGGGACTCAAAGAATTTGGGTATGTCTCATGTCTCATTTTTCTGATTAGTTTTTCCATTTCCATTTACCAAATAAATAGTCTATCTCCACCATGTAATACTACTTTTAATGGCCTTGAGGGGAGGTAGCAGTCAGTCCTGTAGTTTTCCCCTTTGGGAGATGTAAAATCTCTCGTCAGAATCTGTTCCCTTCCCTATTCCCTCAGAATATCTTTTCAGGTGTTACTCTTACTGTTCCTTAGTGTTTGCTCTGAGCTAGGACAGGGCCAGCTGGGAAACCGGATGCTTATCGTCTTATGTCTGTATAAGGTGATGCCTGATCTTTAGCAAGAAAAAATGAAGTGGAGAGGGACTCAAAGATTTTATGCAGTCCACTGTTTATGTATAACTCCTAGTCATATGACTCCTTCCTACAGCTTGGGGAACATGTGATGCCTTAATTAAAATGGCTGCATTAGCATAAAGAGTCTGAATGATTTGACAGAGATGCTTTGGAGCAAAAGACCTGGATTCAGAAGCTACCTTTCTATATTGGGATTCTTGTTTCCAGGTCTGGTGAAGTACAAGGGCATCTTCAAGGTGGTGCACTTGGAGACAGTGAGGGAAGCAGGGGTGAAGTGGCTGCTGCATGAGTACCTTCTAGAGCACCATTTTGTTTGGCCTTGGAGAAGGCTTCTCAGCTGCCTTCCCAGATAGTGTAAGAACTCCAACCACACATAGTACATGAGTCAAGAGACCCAGATGAGAGACGTGGGCATCTTTGTGCATTTAGGAGAAGCAGCATTGATGCCAGTAGAGCATCTGCTTCCCCCAACAGGGTTATCCCTGAAGTCATGAATCCCAAATCCTTCTAAACTTTACCAGTAGTTGCTTCACAAGAACAGAGAGGAAGGAGCAGTCACTCTGGCACAGCAATAAAATATACTAAGATTGAATCTGAAAATGGTAGAGGCCTGTTGCCCATGAATTCTCTGGGCCTCCCAACCTCACTCCCTTAAGAAAACTGGCAGTAGGAGCTACTGAATAGCATCAGACAAGGGCCCCTATCTGTGTGAGGACCCACTGGGAGTTAGACCAGACCTGCGATGCTAAGCCTGTGCAGCCCTCTCAACCCCACCATTTGCCTCCTCTCCTTCCCTTTGGTCTGTCCTCCAGGTTCCAGTCCAGCCCCCTTGGCTCTCATGGTGCTTTATCCTTCTCCCTGCAGAGCTCTCATTGAATAGTCTCAAGGCCAAGCAACTTATAATCTTGTGTTCTTCAGGTTCTGGATTTAATAATCTACTTACCTGTGGCCTTCATCAACCTTTGAAATAACTTAGTTTTTGACACCCATTTCCTATTTCACTTGATTAAATCTGCTTTGCCTTTCTATCTATTTTTTCTACTTTTTCAGACAGAAATGTTCACCTGCCAGCAATAACCTAGGTTTTTGGTAAAGAGTAATGAAATGGGCTGCATGTTTTCCCAGGCTGTTTTTTTGTTTTGTTTTGTTTTGTTTTAACTGTAGTCTTAGTTTGAAAGAAACTGTAAGGATACCCAATCAGCCATAGAATGGACTCACACTGAGGTGACCATGAAGTCAGCAGACTGTAGAGGACGGCTCTGCATAGTGTGTTCTTATTTTCCTATGCTTGGAGAATCACATCCTCAAAATTTCAGAAAGATTCTCACAGTTCGGCAACAATTGTAACAAACTCCAAATACGAGGGCACACAAAAGGAGGGGGAGAGCATTTCTGTTTATTTCCAGGTGTATGTGAGAAATGTTTGCTTCACTGAAAATAACTCATGCCTTTCTGTTGCTCTAGGCCGCCCTTTTCTTGGGTCTGGGGGTCTTGTTTTCCCTGGTCAGCATTCCCTTGGTCATCTACGACTGGGCCTGCTCATCGGGTAATGGTGAAGGCCGCTGAAACCACCTAAGAAAAGGAAACATTCTGGTCTGCTGCTCAGTCAAGTCACCACACATCAGCAACCCTCATCACTTCTTTTGCAAGTTTACAGAAGCAAACAGAAATTTACAAGATTCTTAAAATGGAATAACACTTTGGTAGCAAAATAGGGACCTGTTTCTATAATGGTTCATGTTCCTCCAAGATTTGGGATCAAGTTAAGGATTGTGGATTTTTTTTCAAATTTCATGCAATCGTATTTACCAGTACTTTCCACAGTCAGTTATTTTTCATTCTCCTAACTCTGATTTTTGTGACTTCATGGTCTCTCAGAACTTTGAAAACATGATCATCAATCATGTTTATTTATTATACATCCAGATTCTGAAATAATTTTCCTACAGATATTCAGCTCACACTATGTGTACCTTTTTAAAAGAAAAGAAAAGAATCTTGAATTGTATATATTTATTTTGATTTATGGGGAAAAATGGTTTCATAAATAATTTGCCTATTTTGGTTAACATAGCACACAGGGATAATCATATGAGAGTCACAGGGCACATGCCATTGCTGGATCAGAGCATGCTCAATATTTGAAGTGGCTCTGATCATCTGGCAGCAGAGCTCCAGTAGTCTGGTGGCCTCACTGGTACTAAGTCCTGCTCCATGCAGATACATTCTCTGGCGAGTGCTCTCAGCTGGGAAGGGGGTGGAAATGATTCTTATGTATAGTAAATATATTAAACTACACATTTGAGTAATCTAGCGAATGAAGTCTTGTTACCCTCTTGCAACTTGTGTCTAATAAATTGAGGAGAAAGAATACTGCAAGAAAGATTGTGCAAAATGCCTAAGAAAATATTCTTCTGATGCAGGAAGCCTTCAGCCCTACAGCCTACACCATATTGTTGAAGGGGGGAAATGTTTTATTAAATTGCAAATCCAGCAGCTTTTATTCATGTCCACCAGCTTTTTGCACAGAGAATAATGTATATCTAATCGAGGATGATCTAGGATGAGTAATTCCTGTTTTATATTGGGTACTTCAAGGGGATCTTTAAAAAACTTGTTTTATATCTATAAGTTTAGATTAATACAAATACAAGATTTTTGTATCTAAATAAGCCTCATTCCTATTTCTTCTCCATTAACAATCCATCCAGAGTCTTGAAAAAAAAAAAAAGAAAAAGAAAGAGAACCCTCAGAGATAGTCTTTGAGAAGAATTTGTGACAAAATCACTGAATACCTGCCTTCTCCCAGATGAGGACCTTGGTGCCTGTGCTATTTCCTCTTCTTGCCCGTAGCCAAGGGGTGGGCCATGACTGCCTGCCCAATGTCACCCACATGAGAAGACAGAGTTGCCTCGTACTCTGACTGCAGCCCCTCTCATAAAGGGGTAGGAAGGAAGCTACGCAGAGTCTGAAAAAAGAAGAGAGTTCGAGAGAAGGTAGCTTGGAAAGTTATGAGGGATAGAGCCCAGAACTGCATTACCACGAAGCTGGGACATCACCTGTGATTGGATTGTCCATATCACGCAGTAAGAAACGTGTGCTCCATGAGCTGGTCTCTTGAAACAGGCCTCATGTTTTATCTACATTCTGGTTAAATTTCTCAAACATATAAATTCACCGAGCACAGATTTCTTATCCTGAGATAAGTAGAATCTAACCGCAGACTGGGCAGAGTTTCCAGGCACTGAGCTCTGCATTCGGTTTCTCCTCCACTTGAATTCCCAGAGGCCCCCATGCTCACTGGGAGTAACCTGGAACTGCCCTCTCCCATTTACAGACTAATGTCCCACAGAAAAGGCAGGCCTCGGAGCACCTTGCGATCCTCTCATGGGAGAAGGAAAGATTATTATCTGCGTTTCTTGGTAGGGTCATCATAGCTTTTAATGTAATGCTCCAGAATTATATCCACATTAAGTCAGAGTTCAGGTATTTAGATATGAATACCTACCTATGTATGAATATCTAACTCAGTAAAATACACCATCTTTTTCAGTAGTATCTTTCATATTAGATGAGCAGAGAGAGAAACTGAGCAAAACAAGTTAAGTCGTTTGGCCATTGGAGGCTTGTCTAAAGCACCAAGTAATAAAATAGCCAGATCATGGGATGACCCTCCATTAAAAAACAAAAAACAAAAAAAAAACAATTTAGTCTGCAAGCTATGATTTGCTACTTTCTATTTTCTCATTAATTTATAACAATTCATTGTACACTCACAAAGTAAAGTTAGAAAATTATCATTAACTCTTGGGGGGAGAAGGATGTGTAGTGATATATTTGGATCTCTGGATTTTATGTGTCAGTACAAGGAATTATTTAAATTATATTTATTTAGAGGAAGCACATTGTTGATGTCTATGATTTTTAACATCTTTGTATATTTAAGTTTAGTGTTGACTGAATATAATAGACCTTACTATAATTTCACTGATTAATCATATCATTTGTGTGGGATTAGCTGTAAAGTATACTGCTCTTAATCTTGTTCAGAATAGTGAACTGGTAGCCAAAAATATATGTATCACAGATGTTAGGTAGAATTTGAACAACACAGTCAAGTGCTATAGAAGTTTTTCTGATAAATTAGTAGACTAAAGAATATTATACATTAGCCATTGGGAGCAGCATGTTTTCCTTTAGTGGATAGATCTCAACACTAGTGAACAGTGCCAGTTTCATACTTTGGATTTATAATTGTTCTCTAATTATTGTAATACAGAATACTGTAAATCCCTAATTTCCTTAATTTTACTTATTGGAAGTAGGGATAGTAAAGTGTGTACAGGAAAGAAATTTAGTCTTGTTAAGCAGAGGCAGTCCCCAATTTATAAGCTGATAATGTAATATTGCAAACAGTTGGTTGTTTGCAACCAGGAATGTATTTTCCTTTATACATGGTGGTTAGGTCCCCAGACTAGCTGGAAAAGATTATCAAACCCATAGACTTGTCTGAAATGAGATACTATAACAAGATTGCTAAAGAACCTAACTACGAAATAGAATATTGTTTCTAGAGGGTATTTGTTCAGAGTTGCCAAGAACATGTCACTTCTGGTACTGGAATCTGGATTGCCCACCTCGGCCATGACACCACCTGCTGGATGGGAGGGGTAGGGTTGTCACCAGTTAGAGGTGACCAGAGTGGTCTGAAGCAGAGTCTCCTGCAAAGGAGGGGAAGAATAAGTCACATGGTGATAGGAGGAGCGTGAAGGAGGACGAGGGGGCCTTTTCTGGATTGTAAACCACCAGGGACATTCCTCAGCTCATACCCTTTCTTTTCTCTGGAGGTCTCAGGCTTGGTCTGCCTGCTTCAATTAGCAGGACCTTTTGCTCCTATAGTTCATCTTCTTCCCTGCCCACTACAAACAAGAGGTGTTGTTGCATAGCTTCTCCCATATGCTAATGCTTAGAGCCAGCACGTGGCACTTTTAATGGGTTTAGTGCTAGTAAACCATGGTTTAACTGCCCAGTAATCAGATGGTAAAAAACTCACTACCCACTTTCCTTTTTTTACATTTGCACGCCCTGTAGAGAAAGGTGCACATGGGTGGTGGTTGTGGGGCTTGGGGTGGACAAAGGACTGTGGTAAGATTCTGTAGTACTTCAGAGGACACCTCAGACAGTTACCCCAGAACTGATTTTTTTCTGGAGTTGGACTCAAGCCTCCAGCCAGTGGTTCTCAAAGTGTGGTAACCAGACCAGCAGCATCAGCATCACCTGGGAACTTGTTGAAATGCAAGTTCCTGGGCCCCACAACAAACCTAGCGAAATCAGAAGAGGGGAGAAGCAAATTGTGTTTAGACAAGCCCTCCAGGTGATCTTAATGCACGTTAAGTTTGAGAACCACTCTAAGCCAGTTAGTCTCTCTTTTTCTCCCCATTATTCCCACCCGTTAGTCTCAGAGGATGGTTCACAGGACTCAGAGGACAAGAAATAGGAACCAGTACTTAGAGGGAGGAAAGGAGGAGGCAGCCGGGTCTCCCCCTCCCGCTGGAAAGGGCTGCCGGCACTTGGGTGTAACTTGGACTGAGACACAAGATCACATTTTTTAGAGCTGTGAAGAAATGAAAGTGAGGTGTTAATTGTTTTCTGGTTTGGGTTTTGTTTTGTTGTATTTTGTTTTGTTTTGTTTTGTTTTGTTTTTTGAGGGGAATTAAAAGACTATACCTTTTGTAAATGGAACCGTAGAGGAAATATTGAATTCATGTCAGGAGTAAGTTCTCCAGAATGTTTGGGTTCATTGAGTGGTGATCAATCCTGTCCTCCTTTTAAAGTGAATTCTCTACCGAAAAGTCTGCACTGCATAAGGAGCTGCAAACTGCTCAGAAAAGAATGTAGAGCTCGGCTCCATTTCAGTATCTCAGAATGCCAGATGGAGCAGCACAGGTAGTTGAGGTGAGGGACATGTCTGCGATATGATCAGATATTTGATTTTATGCCTTAGAGCAAAAGCCATTAGTTTCCCTTAGTTTATCAATGTAAATGGCTTTAGGCTTAGAAAGACAGTAAGCCTTAAGAATATAATTCCTCCATTCCAGTTTACAGTAAACTCTCGCTACTTTCAAAACAAAGAAGGTACAGACTATAGCATTTAGCAATACTAATGATTTCCTTAGGGATGGCATATCTGAGAATCTTTTAGCAATAGAATATACTTCCTCTAAAACATTTATGAATTATTTATAATGGCATAAGGCTTTCAGGTACAAATAGGGGGGTGGGATGGCTAACAACTGAAAAATATCACTAAATCTAAAAGGGAAATTTCTTGAAAATTATATAAAATTTACAAGGCCTAGAAATTCTCCTTTAGGGTTTTTTCAGAGAAAAGGCTGTGAAACTGGGCCCATCCATATATAGGCTTGAATTTGTGTTTTTAAAAGGAAGAATCTATGCAGCTGAGGCTTATTGTAGGAAATACTTTATTTGTATGTAAATATATTGTAAATAAACAGGAGGCTGTATATTTTTGCAGTTGTTGATCCATACTGAACTAGAAGTCTCTAGTGTCTGCCTATCATAGCTATTGGCGGTTTTGTTTGGGAATTAGAAAAATTTGCATTCTCTCCCAGGTAACATAGTTTTTTCAATGTAAACTTGGAACCTAAAAGTCTTAATTGTTTAGAAAGAGAAATGTCTGAGATATAGTTGCATTGATTTCTTATACTGATATTAAGATCAACTATTTAAAAGATAGTCCTCTGAGCTACACATAAGGAATATTTACACCTAAATTATTGTCGTATAGAAATAGATAAAACCCCCAAATGATAAACCATTTCTTCATAATGCTCTGATACCCCTCACCACACAGTATTATGAACAGAAGTTGGGGAGGAGAATTTTTTTTTTTTTTTTTCAAAAATTGAATTGCTGCATTTCCCAAACTTTGGGATCTTTGAAAGGTGAAAAAATCTGATCATAAACTATGAGCACAAATTCGAAGGGAAAAAAAGCATTCTTTTAGCAAGTTTTTGAAAGTGTTGCATGTTTGCCTTTTATTTACAATGTTGTTGTCAACATAGACTGTCTTAAGTAATTTTTTCCCAAAACCCTTGAATCATGATTATAGGTATGTAATCCATTCTCTGGAGGAGTCCAGTGTATTTTAGACTTCATTTAAGTCCAGTATGTTTAGCATACCACTGTTTTATTAATGTAAAAACCTTGTAAAGGAATTTCAGATGATTTGAGTCACAAGTCACAAAACTGCTATTCATGGTTAATCAAATAGGGTTTCTTCACCCCCCCCTCCCCGCCCCAGGATGTGGTGTAAATAAAGAAATGTAAGAAGTTCTGTTCTATAACTGCTCTGTTAACATAGTTTTTAAACAATAAAAAATATGAACTAAAAGTATTTATGAATTTTGTGTTCTTTCTTTTGAGATACAGTACTAAAAAGGGGGCATTGAGTACTATGCTCACTATTCCAGATTGGAGACAGATCTGCACACGTTTATCTGTGTTCTCAAACACTGTAAGTGCGTGGAAGCTTACATTTAAGTGCCCGAACCTTACAGTATACTTCTGATAGAAATCTCTCTGGTCTGAAACATATTACATATGTCTCCATCCTTTATAATCAGAGTAGGTTGAACATAACATTTTCTTTTTAAATTCAGGTTCATTTTACAAATACCGATTTTTGTGCAATGTTGTAGAAAGGACTCTAGTCTTCCTTTACCTACATTGCAGCCACTCATAAAACAGGAAATTCTATCAAGACCTCCTTTTCTC